CAAACACATGCCCGCAAAACAAGGAGAAAAGAAAGAAAGAAAAAAAAAACATATAGTTGTTAAAATAAACAAAAACAAAAATTCAGCCTCCAGAGCAAACAAACAAACAAACAACACAACATAACACAAATAGAAGAAATAAAAAAAAACTGCAACAACAACAAGAAATCGAAAAAAAATCTACTTATCAAGAACAAAAATCTTAAAAAAAAAAAAAAAGTCAGTATCTCAGCAAAACAAAAACAAACAAAACAACGCACAAACACACTGCACATCTTCTCTCTCTTACAGGATCTTCCTCCCGCAGCCAACGAGGGGAGAGAAAAGGTGGGCGGGGAGTGGGGGTGAGGGACGTGATGGGGGGGAGGGGGGGGGCTGTAATCACTACGACTCGGATGAGATGAAGAATCTGCGGGGGGGAGGGGGGAGGGGGGGAGAGACAAAAGGTGCAATGTGTTTCCCTGATTTTAGTTTTGTTCTTTTTATTTCTTTTTTCTTATTCCTCTCTTTCTCTCTCTCTCTCTCTCTCGTCTTCTCTTTCTCTTTTCCCTGTCCTGTCCTTTCTTTGCCTTCTCTTCTCCTCTCTTCTCTCTCTCTCTCTCTGTCCTTTTCTCTCCCACCTATTTTTTTCAGTCCCTATCTCTCTTTTCTTTTTCTCTTTTCTTTCTTTCTTTTTCTTTTTCTTCTTTCTTTCTTTTTCTTTTTTTTTTTTTTTCTTTTCTTTCTTTTTTTTCTTTCTTTCTTTTTTCTCTTTTTTTTTTCTCTCTCTCTCTCTTCTCTCGTGTGCGCTATTGGTGGGTGTTCTTATTTCTAAGGTTCCTGTGTAAGGCTTTGGGGTTGATGAGGAAATACTAATAATAAACTAAGGATATTTTTAAAACCAAAAACGCTTGATTAACACTGCAGGGTGTCAATATAATAATATCTCATACAAAAATGACTTCTGCAAGGTACACAGATTAACTATACATGTACACATACACATAAACACACGCACGCACGAACACACACACACACACACACCACACACACACGCGCGCGCGCGCGCAGAGAGAGAGAGATGAGAGAGAGAGAGAGAGAGAGAGAGAGAGAGAGAGAGAGAGAGAGAGAGAGAGATGAGAGAGAGAGAGAGAGAGAGAGTGGGTCCGCGGTTGAAAAGAGTGGCCAGAGACATGATCGAAGACGGAGGTGTATCGCATGGCTCTCTGGCGAGGCCTCCACGGATTCAAACAAGCGTTTTTCGTTGAGGCGTTTGTATAGCTCTACCGTCACTGTGGTCAGTAAGTTACAAACTAAATGAAATTAAATAGAGTAATTCTTTAGCTGATAAAGTAAATCAAAGAAATTCTTTATAACTTCACAATTCCTTTACAATATATATACCCACATTTATACACATATCTATATATATACGTATAAATCTATAAATGCATATATATATACGAACTTAAATACTATAATGTAATATATATATATATATATATATATATATATATATATATATATATATATATATATATAATATATACATATATATATATATATATATATATATATATATATATATATAATATATATATATATACACGAGGTGTATCAGAAAAGTTCCAGGACTGATGTTACAAGATTTATTTCAAACCCAAACTGAAGTCACACTATAAGTTTTCCCCTTCTAAGTAATCCCCCTGGAGTCTAATGCATTTTCTCATCCTTCTCTGCCATGCTTGCATGCACTCCTGGAAGGATTCCTCCGGGATCCTCCGCAGTTCCGTCGTCACGGCCTTTTTGATGTCGTTCACGTCTTCAAAACTGGTCCCCTTGATGGCCCCCTTGAGCTTGGGGAAGAGGAAAAAATCACACGGAGCCAGGTCGGGGGAGTAGGGAGGTTGCTCCAGCACGGCGATGCTCTTCTCGGCCAGGAACTGTCGGATGCTCAGGGCACTGTGAGCAGGCGCGTTGTCATGGTGAAGCAACCACGAGTTGTCCTGCCACAACTCTTGCCTCTTCTCACGCACTGAACAAAGCAAACGCTGCAGTATCTTTTTGTAGATATGTTGGCTGATCGTCTGGCCCTGTGACAAGAACTCGCAGTGGACGATCCCTCTCACATCGAAGAATGTGATCAACATGACTTTGACTTTGGACTGTCGTGCGTTCTTCGGCCTTGGCGATGACTGACTCTTTAACTGAAGGCTCTGGTGTTTGGTCTCCGGGTCGTACTCGAAGATCCATGACTCATCACTGGTGATGACTCTCCCTAGCAAGTCTGGTTCGGTTTCAAGACGCTCGAGGATGTCGCGACACACTTGCATGCGTCGATCCTTCTGGTCATCGTTCAGCAGTTTTGGCACCATCTTTGCGCAGACTTTCCGCTTGTCCAAATCTTCAGTGAGAATCTTCCAGACGCTGTCCCGATTAATGCCCAGCTCATTTGCCATCAGTCGAACGGTCAGCCGACGATCGCTCCGTAGCATATGCCTGACACGCTCAACGTTGACCT